GGGGGGGGGGGGGGACAGGGTGGTGTACCGGAGCTTCAAACCAGGAAATAAAATAAGAAAAGTGAGGCAGGAATGACATATTATAACAGGCAGATTACAAGTGCCAGTTTCTAAATGCACGCAAAAATACAGATGCATACAGGCAAGAAATTAGGGGATGAGGTGAGAAAAGTAAGCAGGTAAGAATAGAGGGAGAAAATGAACAGACAATAGAAAAGACTGAGATAAGACAATGAGAACAAGAGCAGTAGTGATGTAGGAAAGTAATGGAACAAAGAGTAGGCAGAATGAATGGAATGGGAGGCACAGACACAGACAAACTGGCACACATACGAAGAGACAGGCAGGTCAACAGACAGCCACAGACACATAGGCAGCCAAACAGGCAGCACAGGGGGCACATGTAGACAGACAGGTATATCAGCGGACAGCCACAGAGAAGCAGACAATCCAAAGAAAAATCTTTACAGCCATATATGAAATGAAAAAATGAACATGGGGAGAATGTTTGAAAAAAAGTAGTATTAGTGCTCCCCAACACTAAAACTCTTCCCAATAAATCCATAAACTGACCCAGCACTTGCAGACTTAAATAGAGGAGCCTCTCGTCTTCGTCTTCTTTTCCCACAGTCCCCTGAGTTGCTGAAGAAGCTAGGTCTTCTCCCATGGCTGAGGTCCCGGGCAGCACTGGGACGTGTTTGCGTGCTGTTTTTAAAAGTTTTCTTTTTTTTTTCATTTTAATTTTCCGAAAAGCCAGCAGTTAGAAACGGAGAGGGAGGTTGTTTTGTGGAATGGGGGGGCTCTGGGAGATTAAAAACAACTCATAGCGGTTCAGGATGCGGGGCATTCATTACCAAATTGGAAATAGACCTCTGTTTTATGAAGAGCCATTAGTTTTTATTGATGAGACTAATGTGAGTGTTTAAGGTAAATTATAATCGGAAAGGGAGTGCTTAAGGCAGAGAGGGTGATGAAAGAGCTGGAGTAACGTTCGTGTCGGGGGGGGTGCTGGTTCCTATTTACAGACACCCCGCCCCCCCGCCATACCCCGTCCATATGTCTCAGCCAGAGCGACCCGGTCCTCGTACAGGATAGGCTGGGATATACCCTGGGAAACCAAATCCATTTTTATCAGAATGCCGCATGTCATTCCCAATCCACTTCTCCACAAGCAGGGTGGGGGGTTACAAGTGGGTGCATTGACCAGACAAGCCATCCTGTGGCTCTTTGGGGCAGGAAGGAGGGTGTCCCAGTGGTGCAGATCTGCTCGCTTTGCCGTCAGTGAGCTCAGAGCTACATTACGGTGACTCTCCAGGACATTATGGTGACTCTCCAGGACATTATGGTGACTCTCCAGGACATTACAGTGACTTCCCCAAGACATTATGGTGACTCTCCAGGACATTACAGTGACTTCCCCAAGACATTATGGTGACTNCCAGGACATTACAGTGACTTCCCCAAGACATTATGGTGACTTCCCCAGGACATTACGGTGACTCCCCAGGACATTACAGTGACTTCCCCAGGACATTATAGTGACTCTCCAGGACATTATGGTGACTCTCCAGGACATTATGGTGACTCTCCAGGACATTACAGTGACTTCCCCAAGACATTATGGTGACTTCCCCAGGACATTACAGTGACTTCCCCAGGACATTATAGTGACTCTCCAGGACATTATGGTGACTCCAGGACATTACAGTGACTCTCCAGGACAGCCCTTTCTGGAGCTGCTGGCCAGCTCTGTTCTTGAACGAGTTCCTCAAAATGAGGCTTTTGCTCAGAAAGCAGTCTGCTTTCCAGTATCTGTGCTTAACACGAACGCGTCTGCTTAACATACTCGACCGTGTGTCATTGGCCGGCATGTAGGCAGACAGATTCTCCCAATACAAAAATGTATTTGTTTGGAGTCACAGTTTAAATAGCTACATGGGTCTGTGAGAAGCTGAAAGCTGCTCCCTTGCAAATAAGGCATAAACACACATCAGAAAGCCATTGAGCAAACGGCAAATTCTTCCGCATTATGGCCAGTCACGGTCAGGCAAGGCCAACAAAAACAAGAATAGCTAAAAAGAGGAACTCCCACTTGACCGGTTCTGAGCTGTGAAACTCTGGACAGGGAGAGTGGGTGCGTCACTTCAGGGGCCTGAGTGGGGGGGGTCGGTGGGTTCTGGCTTGTATATGGCCAGACGCCTGAGGGGATTGGGGGGGTGGGGGTGTTGTAAGGGTGGGTTTCGGAAGAGGGGAGGGAAAAAAAACAACAGTCAAAAGGTTTGAAAGACTCCACAAGGTCCCTCGACAGTTGTTGGTGAACTCACTGAAGCGTGGTGACTTCCGTCCCTGAGAGTTTCACCTCTAATCTTTCGCTTTGGACGCTTTGGGGGGAAAAAATAGCTCTGGAAATGTGGCCTCTGTGTGGCTGATAAATGACTGACATCAAACGGGCCCGGGGCGACAGCAAGTTTCTCTGGAAAACGCGAGAGGAGCGTGGAAAGGTGGCTGAGCGAGACGCGCCGTGTGGCGCAGCATGTGTTTCCAATCAGCCACCTCCTCCTGCCACCATCGAGCCTCTAATTGCATTTCAGCCTTTTCCATTATGTCAATGGACGTGATATTCTCCCCACTGCACCCGCGTCCCAATGCATCCGCACTCCTCCTTAGCCGCTTACACATAACAACTTGGAATCAGCCCCAGATTGATTTGCCAGCCATCAGCAGAAACCACAGTTGTTTAAATCTATGCATTATGTTTTTTAATTTTCAGGAAAAACAATCTCTACTATTATTACTGAATATAATAGAATTACTGAATATGAGTCATTGATGGAAAAGGTAATACACTATTTATATAAATATATAGTACGTCCCTGTATCTTTTTTAGAGACATAATGTTTTGAAAGACTTCCTGATTCTGTTTGAATACTCAGTACTCAATATTTTTTTTCTACGGTATCACACCCCGCACCTTCTGTGTAAACGGCAACACATCATCCACTGTCTGATACCACCGTTAAGTTCCTTTGACACACAGAATTAACCCCCAAAGCTTTTAGACTTCCTATGAGGCCAAACCTACTCCCAGATGGCCTCCAGCTAGGAGATAAGCTCTAACAATGTCACACACCTGCAACTCACCTGCCTGGGATGAATGAAGGATAATCTGAAGTGGTCAGAGGTCCATCTTACCTGAACCTTTACTTCTTGATTCCGTGTGCAATGAAACTGTCCATTATGTATTGTGCTTTAGCATCATTTAGCAGAATATGGATTTCAGACTCAAGTCTCTGCACTGCATCCACAAAGGCCTATAGAGACACTGTCTGCTTCCTTCCTGTTTCATTTCCATGTGTTTTGTTAGGAGTTGTTCATTTGCAATGACAGATATCCAGAAGCATCTGTCAGCCTGGATATTGTTCTTGCCACAGAGACACACACATATGTGTCAACAGACCCACTGGGACGTATCTCTGCGCCTTGTCCGCTCTATCTTCTACACAAAACATGTACTCTCTCCCTGTCAAACACACAGGAGAATCAAAACAAACTTCATCGAACTAACACACTCCTAGAAGTGTCCAAACATGCTCTATTCCTTCCTTAAAGAAACAGGGATAAAATGTCATACAGATACACAAGATATCCACACAATTACTTCCCAGACACACAGACACGCACGTCTCTCATCTTCAGCAGGAAGCAATAAGTGCTGATCCCACTTTTCCATCACTAACAGAGTTTCCTGCCTTTTTCCTATTTTGTCTTGTATTCGTTTGTTTGTTTTCTGATGTTTTTGCTTAAGACATCAAAAGCAACCCCCCCACCCCAAACCCCCCACCTCCTCGCCCAAAAGCTCTTCAACCTCAAGATGATTTTTGAACTTCAAATGCCAAACAGCCTAAGTCTAGAGTCGATGGGTCATTCGGGTAATTCAATAAGACGAAACAGGGAGGGAGCACCAGCAGATGACGCCCATCCCCAGGCTCCACCCCCAATTGTTCCATAGATTCTGGTAGGTCGATGACTGTTCCTGGCTCTGCCCCCAGTTGATCCATAGAATCTGATAGGTCAATCATTGCTCCACCTGTGGTTGACTTTTTGAATGTTTGGACACCAGAAAGTAAATAATTGTTGTCTGGAGATTGATGAGATACATGTTTGTGTTGTGTTTTTCATTGGGCAAATAAAACGATTTAAATTGAAAATAATTGTAATCAATGAACGTAAATAACCATGACACGCAGTGGACTCGGGGTAATTTAGCTTTGAAACAGGACAGATAGGAAGAAATGGACCTTATATAGCAGAAGACTCGCAAATGGTTCAGGTAGAGGCTAAGAGCCTTTCACATCATCCACACTGAGGCTTGGTTTCAATTGTAATTATGGGACCATCTACTTATCAGATAAGAAGATGGAGACTTTTTCCATAGGTTTCCCTGCTCTAACGAAGAACCAAGCAAAGATGAAACAAACATTCCAAAATGAAAAAAGAAACTGAAAACACAAGGTAACAATTAGATAGTCTTCTTGAATTTAATAGCCCAAAGTATCCTATATCATGGGGAACAAAGTATCCATCAACCTTCAGGATCCTTTTGGAGAGAAATCATGTACAGTGGTACCTCAGAACTCCGGATCGAATCCTAAAAAGTTCGAGTTGTGATTGAATTTTCCCCATAAGAAATAATGGAAAACCAATCAATTGGTTCCCGGCCCCAAGAAATTACACCTAAATACGTTTTTATTAGCAGTTAAACACAAAATGAACCAGATAAAACAAGAAGAGCATATACTGTACTAAACACATCTAAGCACATTTATCAAAACAGTAATTTGTAAAGTAAGAAAATAAATGTATCCAAACAATGTGTCCTGCCCCGATTGTCCGCTCCTTCCGTGTGCCACGCCCCCTCGTTAACCCCGTGTGGAATCCCCGTGTGATCAACTGTTTCTGGTTGTTTTCATTAGCCCTCTGTATATCATCCGCGTTTCAGTTTGTTTCCCCAGTCTGGTCATTGTATTGTCCGTCTGCGTTTTGCCTGCCTTACCTGTAATTAAACCCCGTATTCCCCGATACCCTGACGTCTGCGCCTTTGTCTCCATTCCGTCCCCGCTCGGCACAACAATATTATTATAATTAAACGTATTAATGGTTTATTATTAATATTAAAAAAAATATAAATGTATAATTATATTCAGCTAGTGTAAACAAGCATGATACTATCACAGCAAATGCGAGGCTGAGACTGAAGCATTACCCTTTGTTTCCGCTGTGAGACTAGCCGCGTGACTCATTTCCCTGTGCGTACAAGTTATCTTAGGTCGGCCTTCACGGTTTGACTTCTGAGATTCAGATCGAGTTCTAGGTAATTTATTTTCGAACTTATTGGTTCGACTTTTAAGAAATTCGAGTTCTAATGAGTTCGAGAACTGTATTAAAATCAGACTTTGATTCAGGACCAGCTCTTATATCTCCAGATTTTAACTATGTTTCTGTATTTGGTGCTGAGACAAATAGCAACATGGACATCATATGAAAAAGGGTATGTAGTATAAACATGTTTGAGGCTTTAGGGAGAGTGGAGACAGTCCTGGGCTTGGTGGTTTTGGTATTGAGGGTCTGATAACACTCATCTAAGGAAAGTTAATTTGTCTCCTGAATGTCA